GTGGCTTAACTTCCTGTGCCATGAGACCGGCTAGGGGGCTGTGTCATGCCATGGAATCGTCTATACAGGCTTGGGGAGTATGGCCTGTGTGTGTGTGTGTGGTGTGTGCAGTGCATGTGTGCATGGTACACGAGGTGTACACGTGCATGGGGTGTGTGTACACACATGCAGTGCACAGGGACAGGTCTCAGTTGGGGCGTGTGGGCTCTTGGGGGTTCACCTTCGCTGCATGACCTCGGCTGAGCGTCTGCCTCTGCCCCCGCCTTTGCTTCACTCTGGGCAGTGAGAGCCCAGCTGCCCACGTGGGCGGCCCACTCACAGGGTCCTCAGCTCCAGCCCCGAGGCAGTGGCATGCAGCCAGTCCTGGTGAGCTGGCAAGCAGGCTGGCTGGCCTGCGTGTTCTATCCCAGGCTGTTCCAGTCCTGCTGGCCGCCTTCTGGGCCTGGGCTTGCTCTTTCCATTAGCATAACAGGAAAGGGTTTCCTGTTTCATGTCTCCAGTTGTTATTCATTTTTTGTGTTTTTGTAAAACGTTAGAACTGAGTGCCATTCAGATGCAAGCAGGGACGCCAGCCACAATTCCAAAAAAACACAGTGGCACTCAGCTGCAGGAGCCGTGCCTAGCAGAGGCAAGCTGCCCGATGCCCCCCAGTGGTCCCTTGCTCTCCAGCCACCACCACTCCTGCCCTGGTCCCCCTGCCCCCTTGGCTTCCTTCTCCCATTGAGACACTCAGAGTAGGAGTCCTTCTCCCCGCCCCCACCCTGGAGGAGCACCCCGCCGCACAGTTAGCTTCCCCTCGACCCCAGCACGTGCCTCACTGCCCAGCACAGTGAGTGGATGCAGGCTGCGCCAGCACCTCTGTCAGAAGCAACCGATTCCGGTCTCTGACCTGAGAGGCAGGGACCTACGCACACGAGCCGTCCCCCAGGCCCACGCACACGAGCCGTCCCCCAGGCCCACGCACACGAGCCGTCCCCCAGGCCCACGCACACGAGCCGTCCCCCAGGCCCACGCACACGAGCCGTCCTCCAGGCCCACGCACAGGACTTGACCCCAGGTCCTCTGACGCAGGTACCCCCTGACGTGGCAGCCTTGACTCCTGACTGGGTGAGCCCCAACCCCCTTTGAGGAATATGTTGGTGGAGAGGCTTGAGCCAGCTCTGCCTGACGTGCCCAGGTAACCCAGGTGAGGCCCTGCTCAGTGCCCCCGTGAGATGGAGCTCCATGGGTGCCCCGGACATGTGGTGGGGACTCCGGGGGATGGGCGGGGGTGGGGCTGTTCACCTCAGGTGTTTGAAGGAAGGGTCTGGAAGAAGTGAGCCCTTTGCCTCGTCGCAAGGTGACCTTGAGTCCCTCCCTTCCCTGGGGTTGGGGCAGCGTTCCAGAGACCAGGCTGCACTGCTTCTTGCCCGCAGTTCCCAGCTTCCTCCTCCACGTCAAGGCCCCTCCGTCTTCACCTGCAAAGCCAGACCTAGCGGGCTGGGAAGGAGTAGAGGCTGACCAGTGACGCCGCTGGCCAGCGCGCCCACATCTGGGAGGTAGGGTGGGGCTGCTCTCCACTCCGCGCTCCCCCGACGTGCTGAGGGAGGAGAGGGGAGGCTGGCCCTGTCCTGGGGCGCCCTCTAGTGTCCCCGGAGGGACCTGCGGCCTGTCCGTCAGCAAGGGGAGGACCAGCTTTGTCCTGGCTCCTCCTCCCAGTTCCAGGCTCCAGACTGATTTCACCAGACTGGGATCCCAGGGTCCCCGGCTCCGTTATCAGCCCCAGCTGACTCCATCTTCTGCAGTTCTCCCTGCTCCAACGCCCAGCCCCGAGGCTCCACCCAAGCCCTGTCTTCGCTCTGACCTTTCCACTGGGCCTGATCCTGCCCCCTACAATGCATCAAAGACACCCCCTGGAGACTCAGGGCCACTCGCAGCCCTGGCCCCCATCCCCTGCACCACTGCTCTTCGGTGCCCGCAGGACAGAGCCCAGCCTTCCCTGTGCACTGCGGACCCAGGCTCGCCTCCCACACCTCCCCTCACCTCCGGCCAGTGGGTAGTGCCACTGGGCTATGACTCTGGCAGGCACCATGCCTGCTCACCCCCGAGCTTTGCCCACACTGGGTGTTTAACCGGGGATGTCTCTGCCTCTGCCACTTCTCCCACTGCCTCAGCAGGCTGTTCTCTTCTCTTGCTGCTGGCATCTGGCCGCAGGGGGATCCCCCAGGCTCCAGGCAGCCCCCACCCCTCCCACATCCTTATCCTCCCCTTGAGGAGCAGGCAGCATTGAGCGACTCTCAGGTGCACCTGACTTTAAAGGGCAACAGATACTACACTGGCAGCCATGGCCAGTGCTGGCACCTGTGAGGCAAGCTTGGGGTCAATGTGGGGGGATTGGGATAGCTTGGGGAGGTGGAGTGGGGTTAGGGGACACTACCCTGAGAAGGTGATTCATTGACTTGGGGTTTGAGAAGCAGAGAGACACATATCTCTCATTGGCTGGCTCAATGCCTACAGCAGCCAAGCCTAGGCCAGCTGAAGTCAGAAACCCAGAACTCCATCTGGGTCTGTTACAGGGACACACGCACGTGAGCTGCCATCTGCTGCTTCTCGGGGTACACACTGGTACACTGCAATCAAGCACAGAGCCCTCCAGTGTGGGACGTGGGCGCCCTGACTGCTGTGCCCAACACCTCTTCCCACCCAACCCCTCAGCCTGTAAGCCTTGATGGACGGAGCCCAGAATGGTCAGCCAGGGGTCAGCAGGCAGTGGGGCAGGTGGAGGTGAAGCTGATGGGCACCCCAGGGGGCAGACCCCAGGAGCAAAGATCTGTGGACAGAACCAGCCTGGGGCGGGACAGGTGGGGTTTAGAGAACAGGTGCACGGTGCTCAAGTGCAGCGATGGGGAGGTGGCCAGGGGCTGGCTGCTAACAATGTGAACTTGACCCGAGTATAACTGGCACTCAAGAGCCAGGAGTCACAGCGGGGCGGGGCAGTGTGGAAACTGCCCCCACCAACTGCTGCCTTGGGAGTCTGTGGGGGCATTCTGTTGTCATCAGGACCAGAGGGCGCCTGGGGCAGACCTACCACCCGTGTCTTCCATCCCACCTCTGAGGACCCGGGTTCAAGTCCTGGCTCCACTGCTCATTCCAGCTTCCTGCTCATGTGACCCCCGGAGGTGGCAGGCAGGTGCTGTCACCCACATGGAAGGTCTGGGCTGGGCTCCAGGTTCCTGGCTGTGCTGTGGAATCAGGCAGGCCTGGTTGCTGTGGATGTGGGGGAGTGAACCAGCAGAGGGAGGACTATGGGTCCTTCCATCCTGTGGTCTCCCACCTGTGCCTCCCAATAGCCTGTCCTTGCCAGGGGGCAGCAGCCACGCAGCCATGGGGAGCAGGGAGGGGTCTAAGAGACTAGCAAGGCGTGGGCCACACAGGAAGGGCCAGGAGACACCCCTTCCACCAGCTCGGTGTGCGGCACGGTCACGCCCCACGCCCACTCCCCAGGCTTTGCCATCCTCGCAGGAAGAGACTGTCAAGGCTGGCCCAGGTCTCACTTCTGTCCTGCCTCCCCACTGTCACACTGAGGGGTCAGCAGCCTCGCGGGACACCCCAGGTCTGACCACAAGGTGGCGCGTGGCGGCTGCCAGAGCAGCCCTGGGTGGGACACGTGGACCCGTGCCCTGTGGAGCTGCATTTGGGGTCAAAACCTGTGTGTGTGTGTGTGTGTGTGTGTGTGTGTGTGTGTGTGTGTGTGCGCGCGCGCGCGTGCGTCTGAGAGTCCCGAGACCCCGCCAGGCTGCGGGCGCCCTGTCACCCCCTTTCCCCTGCTGGAGGCTACCTGGATCTCCGTACAGCCGACTCTGATGATGAGAGTATCTGCCTGAGCTGGGGACCATTATGGCCCCCCCATTTCACAGATGTGAAAAGTGAGGCCACAGAGAGCAGCAGTGTGCCGAGGCCCTGAGGGCAGCCAGTGGTCTTTCCCAGGCTCTGCCCCTCCAGCCGGGCAGCCTGGGAGCCTTCCAGTGACAGGGTCCCTGTCCCTGAGGGTTCAGTCTGTGGTCACTGAGCTGGGCCGCACAGGCCTGACTTGGCAGGGCCAGTGGCTCAGCCCAGGGCTGCCAGGAGCTGTGGGCAGTGGCAGGAGGGGACTTTGCTTCTCACGCTGTCGTGTTGTCTTTGCAATGTCCGGATCCCTTGCCTCTTCCTCCTCCCTGCCCCTGCAACCGGGAGTGAGCCAGCATTTAGTGCAGCAGCAGACAGCATGGCTAGACAACCAGCAGGACTTCTAGGCAGGGGCCAGGGAAGCTGCCTCCTGTGTAGGTTGCAGGGAGGGTCTGGGGTTGCAAACAGCAGAGACTAAGACGGGGGGAGGGGGGCAGGTCAGGGCCCCAGACCAAAGGGGAAGGTGGGTGGGGCTGTTTGGCAGAGGGAGGGTTGGACGCTGAGAAGGCAGACAGCAGAGGGGGTGGGGGGAAGAGGGCGGGCAGGGTGCAGTGTGTGTGCTGTGGGCCGGGGTAGGTGGGTAGTTCTGGGAAGGAGGTTTGTGTGAGCCATTTGGGCACTGGTCTGAAGCCTTTTGCACCCCGCAGGTCTGGCTGAACAGGTAAACATGGGGACTTAGGGGGCTTGGGAGGGATCGGGGTTACCCTGGGGGATTCCAAGCAGCCCCTGGTACCACAAACATCTCCAGGGGGGCTACAGCTGCCACCTGAGGGTGGGGGGAGCACAAGTGAGCCCTGAGCCACGGGGTCAGGACCACAGGCCCCTGATCTGTGGTCTGGAGCCAGGACCTGGGGCCTGGGCTGCACTCTGGGAGATGGGGCAGCCAGCCCCCTCCTCCAGAATCCCAGGCCGGGTGGGCGGGGCAGCCCGGGCGGCGGGTGGGGGAGGCGGAGGCGGGGAGGAGGGCCGGGCCTCTGTCCATTGCATTAGTGCTGGTTGGAGGGAGTGGGGCAGAGGAGCCGCAGGGCGGGCTGGTGGTGGGTCATTCCCACAGCGGTGAGCAGAGCAGGGCTGCCATGGCGCTGGCCAGGCCTGGGGCCCAGGACCCCAGACGTGTGGCCTCTCTCCTGCTGCTACTGCTGCTACTCTGGGTCCCTGCCCTTACCCTCCTGACTGGTGAGTGGGGGTCCAAGCCTGGGGGTCTTGGGGGAAGGGCCTGGGTCCCCACTGTGGACACCCCCATGTTGGGGTGCTGGGTGCAGAAGGGTGCAATGCTGTGAGGCTGTGGGTCCCTGGACCCTGGGGCAGCTGTGTGTGGAGGGGGCACCTGGGATGCAGTGGGGTACGCAGTTGGTGGCATCCAGTAAAAGCAGCAGTTCCTGGGGGGCGAGGGGCTGGACCTGGGGTTGTTGTGTACAGGCAGTGGGTGTGTGAAAGTTGCGGAGCCATCCCGGGTGAGGTGGTGGGAGGCCTCCGGGTGTGGCGAACCGTGTCCCAGCAGAGTTGTGGGGTGTGCGCTGTGCAGTGGGCTGGGCCAGCTCTTCACACTCACATGGGGACAGAGGCAGGCAGACCCCAGCTCAGAGAAGGGGAGGAGGCGCTGGGAAGTGCGGCTTCTGCAAGCCCCAGGGAGCGGGAAGAGGACAGAGAGATGGGCTGGGGTGTTTTGGGGGTGTCCCCTGTGCTCTGTGGCCCCCAGCATTCCCAAACCTGGACGGGCTCTATGATATCAGAACACCGTCTGCCCAGGAGTTTTCGCTTTTGTCCAAGTAGATTCTCACACACACATGCACACACACACGCACACACACACACACACACACACACACACACACACACACACGGAGCCTGGAATTCCTCCTGGGGGGGGGTCTTAGGCGTCACTATAGCTACAGAGCCAGCTCTGGGAAGTCCCCTGCTCCTACTGTCTGCAGAATGGCTGGCCTGGCCTGGGTGCTCTACTTTTCAGAGCTCCACAGGTTGCCAGGCCCTGCCCGTGCCCTATCCAGCCCTGCCACATAGCTGCATGTGTGTGCACGTGCCAGGGCAAATGCTGTGATGTGACAGGTGTCGGCAGGTGCGTGCAAGCCCTCTGCGTGGGCTCCTAGGCACCTACACCCTCAGCCAGAGGATCCTTGAGGCATGGGAGACAAAAGGCACTAACCCCAGAGGTTGCCCCAACTCTAGAGATCCCCCAAAATCGGAACAGGGCACTGCAAGCATGGCTGCTTCTGCATGCTAGCACCCACAGCCTGCCTGCCAGGAGCAGCGGCAGCCAGAGATGGTGCAATTTGAAAATCCATTGCCTAGGGGGTAGGGCTTTCTGGCTTTCCCTGCTCTGTTGCCCACCCCTTGCCAGGCCCTGAGCTGGGCCCCTTCGTCCTGGGCCCACTTAGCCACAAAGCTCCCTGCTGGTTGCCATGGAGAACACCAAGCATTTGGGAGCACAATGGGGCACGTTGGGCTCTCAGCCCCACCCCTCCTTCCCTGAACACCCAGGGAGCTCAGCAGACAAAGGGGTTGGCAGGGCAGCAAGTCTAGTCCCCATGGCTGGCCCCTCCTCCAACCAGAGGGTGAAGTTTGGGGGGTGTGGTGGGACAGGGCAGGGACACAGCAGGAGGCCACCATGTTCAGCTCAGCGGCTAGCTCTTCTGGACAGCTGGTTTACCTCCAGTAAAGTTTGCTGAGGGACAAATCTTAGCAGTCCCACATGGCCAGCACCTGCTACTACAGCAAGGACTGAATCCTCCCAACAGCCTGGTTCTGGGAGGTGGGCTTGGAGTGCCCCAAGTCTGCAGAGGGCGTAAAGAAGGGTCAGGAAAGGCCAGCACAGAGCCACAGAGCTGGCGAGGGCCAGCATTTCACAGTGGACAGTGGTGTTTGCACGCCCGAAGTCCCATCTCCCTTCGGGCCTCTGAGAAGTGGGGTGCACGCTCTGTAGCTATTAACATCCTGGGTGATTATGCCACTCTGTTCTGACTTAAGTTTTGACTGAAACTGCCAGCGTAAGGGGCATCTGTGTGGAAGGCCATGCTTAGCTGGGAGTGAGGCAGGAGGGCAGCCCCCTGGCAGGGGTGTGGGGTGAGGTTTGGAGCCCCGTCTCGCCCCTGCCCTGCTCTTTCTCTGTTTCCCAGCCTGGTGCTCTCAGCCCATAGGTGGGCAATGCTGTCGCTGGGCACAGGTGGGCACTCAACCTGTGGCATTTGCTGTCAGGATTTTTGTTACCAAAACCAAGGAGCTTAGCCTCAGGGGGTACAGGTTTTTGGAAATGAGACTTGCATGCATCCCTGCCTCATTGTGTCCTCTGCAAGCCCCTGTGTGTCTCCAGCCATGGGCCGGGGACTTGGTGGTGGGTGGCAGGGGACAGCTTATCTCCACCCTGCTAGAGGCCGCTGTACGTTACAGGGTCCCAGGTCACTGCTGTGTTCGACTTGTGTCCGAGCCAATGCAAGTGGCCAGCGACGGGGACCGCAGAGAGCCGGCGTCTAGATGGACAGACAGGGCTGGCTCTGCCCAGGGTCAGAGGAATGCCCTTGAACCAAGAGAGAGTCCCCAGCTTACTAGCTTTCTCTGTCGAGTGCCTGCATGGGTCAGGCAAAGGCCCCCCCAGCTCAACCTCTACCCCCTGGGAAAACTGCATACCCTTCCAGGAGGCAGGGCCAATGTGCATGCCAGGGACGCTGGGAAACCTGGACCACCCTGCCCCCCTCAGGATCCTGAGGCCGAGGGGGCTCATTCTCACCTCCTGGGGTCAGAAAACTGAGGTTTTGTGAGTGGCTGCCCCCTCTTTGGTGTGACTCACATAGAAGGACGCAGGACCAGGAAGGGGCTGACGCAGGGCGCAGGACACTGTCCGTTAATCCCTCCCTTGCCAGGTCCAGGCTGTCGGAGAGGTCAGGAGGGATTTGCAAAGATAAGCACAGGCCCCTCGTTGCTCTGGCAACAGGCCCCGCCTCCCCCACCGGCCCTGGGGAATGAAGCACCCGCCCCTCTAGCCACTGGCCCTGGCCCGGCTCCCTCCCAAAGGCAGACAGCAGCAGCGGCTGCACCTCAAGGTGCAAAGGTGACCTCAGGGGCGGGGACAATGCAGATTCCTGGGCCTGGGTGGGAGGTGAGCCTCACTGTCCCTCACTGGGAGGTGGCTGGTTGAGCCTGGAACAAGTCATTCCCGTCCTGGGCTCTAAGAGGTTCTGCCCCCCTCCCCCCTGCTCCCGCCAACCCTCCTGCCGACGCTGAACAAGGAGGCTTCTGTCCTGGGCTAGAGCCCCAGGTGAGGAAGGGGTACCTTGGGCCACAGGAATGAGTGCCGCACCCCATGGGAGTGGAGCTCCCGGAGGGCACAGCCTGCTCAGATAACAGGAGTCACTGAGCTGGAAAGATTTAGGCACTGTGGTCACCCTGGTGGTGGCCCTGCCAGGCACCCCGGAGTCAAAGTTCCCAACGCCTCAAACACCCCCGTAATCTGGGCCCTGCTGACACCCAGATCCAGGGCAGCTCTGCTTGGTACGCACAACCTGAGTCCTTTCCTGAGGGAGTTCAGTCCACCAGCACCCTATCACACCGCCCTCCCCCATCACACCACCCTCCCCCATCACACCACCCTCCCTGCCCTCACACTACCCTCCCCATCACACCACCCTCCCCCATCACACCATCTTCCCTCCATCACACCACCCTCCCCATCACATCACCCTCCCCCCATCACACCACCTTCCCCCATCACACCACCCTCCCCCATCACACCACCCTCCCTGCCCTCACACTACCCTCCCCTATCACACCACCCTCCCCTATCACACCGCCCTCCCCCATCACACCACCCTCCCCATCACACCACCCTCCCTCCATCACACCATCTTCCCTCCCCTCACACCACCCTCCCCCATCACACTACCCTCCCCCATCACACCACCCTCCCCCCATCACACCACCCTCCCCCATCACACCACCCTCCCCCATCACACCACCCTCCCTCCCCATCACACCACCCTCCCTCCCCTCACACCACCCTCCCCCATCACACCATTCTTCCTCTTCCATCACACCTTCCCTCCGCCCATCATGCCTTTACCTACTCTAGCAGATGGCCTAGCCCTGAGGGACAGGACACTGTTGCCCTAAGTCCCTAGGGAAGTCCCTGCTGGCCTGTGCCCCTGTCCATAGGCCCAAGCCCTGGAAGCAGAAGCTCAGAACAGCTTCCCTGAGTTTGGGAGGGGGCCTGGGCTGAGCCTCCATGCCCTGCTCCGGGTCAGCCCTCAGAGGACTGGGCCATGGGCATGGCGCTGGCGAGCCAGGCAGCTCTGGCTATTCTGTGGGACCCTCCCTGTCTCCCTGCCCGGCTCTCAGGTTGGTGGACAGCCCTGACAGAGGAATGTGGATGACGCCCGAGAGGCTGCCGGCCTTATCTGGGGGTCTTCACTGGAGTGGGGGAGGTGAGGGGCAGGGCCTGGGCAGTGTCTGGATGACAACCTGGGTGGGGGAGGGGCGCCCTTCCCCCACCCCATCACTCCCTGAGCAGCGGGGGGGCGGGGGGGGGGTGCTCCCTGCTGCAGTCCCATGAGTCTTACCTAAAGGAGCCTAGTTGAAAGCTGGGAGCTCAAGGCCAGGAGCGGAAGCAACTTGCCCTAGGTCCTCTGAGACACTTCCTGCTTCCCTTCCAAGCCTGAGCGCTTCCCTCTGCATGACCGTGACCCTGGAGTAGCTCCTAGACCAGGAATGGAGGGGACACTAGGGCAGGCTGGCTTCCAAAGCAGCCACCCTCCAACGGGAGTGGGGGTGCCTGCAGTCGTGGCCTGAGTCAGGTGGTGGGCGAGTGGGTGCTGATACCTGCTTGGTCTCATGTGACCCTGGACAGGTCAGCCACACTTGTTCTCTGGTGTCAACTCAACGAGGGTCAGGGGTCCTGCAGACATTCCTCGGCCAGCGGGGCATGGCGGAGGGGGGTGGGGTGGCAGGGGCCGGCACAGGGTCCCTGCCTTTGAAGTCATCCAGCCGCCCTGGTCCTCTGGGCTGAGGTCGGGACGTGTCCAGTTTCACACAGGGATGCGGTTACCGACAGGGGCGGCTGTCCCCTCCTCCTCGCTCTCCCTCCCGGTCCCTGTGTGGGGGTCAGCCTACACACAGAAGAGGGAGACCCAGAGGGGAACCCTCAGCCCCCTACTGTCCTAATGTTTACTGCCTGGGTGACTTCAGGGAGTCTTCACTTTCTAGAGCCTCTGCACTTTCGCGAAATGGGCAAGATGGTCCCTGCCTCCTAGCGGCGTGGCAGGGACATGATGAGCCGGTATCCCTGGACCCCTTTCTCTGCTGTGTGGGCAACTCAGTACTGTGGCTGGCTCCAGCATGGACGTGTACAGCTTGTTGTACCTCCCAACCCTGCTCCAGGCCCTTGGCCAGCCCCCATGCTGCTTTCTGGGGTCCAGGGTTGGCCTTGAACTCTGTGTGTGTGTGTATGTGATGATAAGGGAAGGTCTCCTTAGCCCAGCCCAGCTGCCTTCCTCTTTCTACAGGCACGGTACCCCCAGAGATGCAGAGCGCCTGCGCCTCAGATCCCTGTGGCCCAGAAGCCAGATGCCAGGCTACAGAGAGCGGCGGCTACACCTGTGGGCCCCCAGAGCCCCAGGGCTGTGCCAGCCAGCCCTGTCACCATGGTGCTCTCTGTGTGCCCCAGGGCCCAGATCCCCACGGCTTCCGCTGCTACTGCGTGCCTGGGTTCCAGGGCCCACAGTGCGAGCTGGACATTGACGAGTGTGCGTCCCGGCCGTGCCACCATGGGGCCACCTGCCGCAACCTTGCCGATCGCTATGAGTGTCAATGCCCCCTGGGCTATGCAGGTAATGGCTCAGGCTGTCCCCCTACTTGGGTGGGGCCGGGGAGGGGAGCCCTGGAATGTGAATGCCATCTGCAGGGCAGGCGGCAAGCCTGAATTCAGCTTTGCTTTCTGCAGAGCTGCCCTGGGGTACCCCTGCGGTTCTGGGCTGTTTCCAAGACTCGTGAACTGACACTGCCAAGGCTGCTGCGGCTCTCCTGGAAGCCTGGGAGTGGAGGCTGCATGTGCCAATGCACGGTGCCTGGCACCTGTCAGGCATGCAGCATATGTGTTTGAACCCCTTCTGCAGTTTGGCTCTGCAGGAGGAGTCCCTGCTTCCCCAGCAGGGCCTCTCTGGCTCGGTGTTGGGGAGAGGACCAACCCTAACCCTCCACTCCCCTCCAACAAGCACTGTCACTCTTCACCCTTGTCCCGGCTCCAGCTGGCCTGAGGTGCTGCCTGACTTATCTGCCAGTTCAGGATCTAAGGTAGACCCCTCTCTTCCGGAGGTCCCTCCTCAAACTGCAGCGGGGTCTCTCCCCTCCCAGCCCTGTTGCAATCCTTGCTGTCTTGAGGGGGTCGATCACGAATCTACCACAGCCCTAGGCGCATGCCAGCCATGCCAGTGCTGTCCCCGCTCTGAGGCCAGAGTGGTTGAGAGCCACATGCTGGAGAGGCCCCAAGTCCAGAAGCATGAGGCTGGGGAGGAGTTGGGAAGTGAGGCTGGAGTCTAGCATAGGGTGACGACTGTGGTGAAGACAGGCTGACTTCTAGCTTCAAGTGTGAATCAAGGGAGGTTTGAGGCTGCCCTAGAGCAGGCGGTATAGACCGGGGGTAGCATGGGGTCTTGGAGGGTGCACAGTGCAGGAGCTGTTTGTGCCTTGCACTGAGCATCCTGTGTGTGTGTGTGTGTGTGTGTGTGTGTGTGTGTGTGTGTGTGTGTGTGTGTATGGGTGCCACATCTGGGCCTGTGTGCCTGCTGGTCCTCTGGGTCAGGCGGTCTGGGCTCTCTGAACGAGTCTGCAGAATGTACATGTGTGTGAGGGTGCGCTGCCCTGTGGGCTGCCTCGGGTGCCTCTCTTCCCTGATCTGTGCCTGGGAGCAGGGCAGTGTCTGCCGTGACTCACTCCTCCCCTCCTCTTGATCCCAGCCGGGCGGGGGAGGCTGGGATTCCAGGCGGCTGGGGCCTGGCTCCCCCTGGCACAGTGGGGAGGAGGGGCCGTGTTTGGTGTTCACTGAGCCGGGAAGGGGGAGGGCTCCAGCTGGAGTCAGCTGGACACCTGTTACCCCATTTCCCATACCCCGGGGACACAATAAACAAACTCCCTTCAGGACCAGGGCACGGCCCACTGGAGACACAAGGACACAAGGGTCTCTCCAGGCCCAAACCCGGCAGGTCCCGGGACTCAAAGCCAAAGCAAGACAGGCAAACCCAGAGCGTCTTCCCCCACTGGCTTTCTGGGGGTGCTCACTCTTCCCCCCCCACCCTCAGCAAAATCACCACTTGGAACCTTCCAAGAGGCAGGCCTCTCGGCCCCTGTCCCAAACACAGCTCGCCTCTCCACAATCTGCCTAACAGGCCTCCATCCTGGGCAAGCCTTACAGAAAGCCTTCCCTGACTGACAGTTCCCAGGCCAGACCCTGACTCTTGCTCTTGTGGGTCCAATTCCTCTCCTGGCGCTTATCCACACTGCAAAAATCAGACCTCGTTTGGGTCATTTGACCCCTGACCCCCAAGCTTGGCTCCGTACTGCCCACACTGGCCCTTAGGAGCACCTGGGACCAAGGCTGGGACCGACCAAGTTTCAGCTCCTGGCACTCCGGGGCGGCGTGCTCTGCCCACCTCCTCCTCAACACACAGCAGGCGCCCACCCCTCTTGTCTCCGTCCGGCGTCCAGGTGTGACCTGCGAGGCCGAGGTGGACGAGTGCGCTTCGGCACCCTGCCTGCACGGGGGCTCCTGCTTGGATGGCGTGGGCTCCTACCGCTGCGTGTGCGTGCCGGGCTACGGCGGCGCCCAGTGCCAGCTGGACCTCGACGAGTGCCAGAGCCAGCCGTGCGCACACGGAGGTGTATGCTACGACCTGGTAAACGGGTAAGGCAGGCGGCTGAGGCCCTACTGCGGTGAAACGAACGGTGGGGTGGGGTCCCCGGGGCACGGGCACACTCATAGCTCCGGCCTTACGCTCATCTGCCCCAGGTTCCGCTGCGACTGCGCGGGCACAGGCTACGAGGGCACACGCTGCGAACAGGAGGTGCTGGAGTGCGCATCTGCGCCCTGCGCGCACAACGCGTCCTGCCTTGAGGGCCTCGGGAACTTTCGCTGCCTCTGCTGGCCAGGTGTGTGTGTGTGTGTAGCTGCACAAGAGAGAGAGAGAGAGAGAGAGAGAGAGAGAGAGCGCTTCCCTTGAGTCAAGGGCTGCGAGTGGGCAGTGGGGCCAGGTGTCCAACTCCGCGTGTACATGCAAGCTGTCTGGGCCCTCTGCGTCAAGGGCTGCAACCTATATGTGCCTGTAACCTATGTGTGCAAAATGGGGTCCCAACCCTAGCACCCGCTCCCAGAGTGTAGTGACCGGAAGGACACGGTATAGGCCCAGCCCACGGCCACGGCTGTTGTCATCCATCAGTGTGCCCACAATCACTGTTGGTGGCAGCGTCCTGGGCCCTGCCTGGCGATCCCGTGTGACCTGCTGCCTGCGCGCGTGTGTGACCCCAGGCTACAGCGGCGAGCGGTGCGAAGTGGATGAGGACGAGTGCGCAGCGCGCCCCTGCCGGCATGGCGGCCAGTGCCTCCAGCGCTCCGATCCTGCGCTCTACGGGGGCGTCCAGGCCACTTTTCCCGGGGACTTCAGCTTCCGCCACGCTGCAGGCTTCCTGTGTCGCTGCCCTCCGGGCTTTGAGGGTGAGCCCCTGCTGGGAGGACACAGTCAGCTAGGGTCCGCATGCCCGGGGAGGGGTGATGGGGAATGGGAGGAGGGGACAATGGGATAAAGGCCGGTCCCTTGAGACAGCCAGCTTCTTTCTCTGGGCCCCAGGGTCCCCAGTTCCAAAACAGACCCCCTCAGCTTGGCAGTTAAGCTGGGGGTGCAGGTGGGAGCCACAACTGGGCCTCTGGCAGGTGCAGACTGCAGCGTGGATGTGGATGAGTGCGCCTCAGGGCCCTGCCAGCACGGAGGCCACTGCCAGGACCTGCCCAACGGCTTCCAGTGCCACTGCCTGGATGGCTTCACAGGTGCCCGGGGGTGGGGCAGCCTGGGGGTGGGTACACACCGTGTGTGTGTGGGGGATGTGTGGAGGGATGGGGACAAGGAGAAGAGGGAGGAGGCAGGAGTGATGTGGCCCAGGTGACAGCTCAGGGGGCGGAGCCACAGTCTGAGATAGGGACAGGAGAGTTAGGTGGCCAGGTGTGCTGCAGCAGGGGTACATGCCAGGGGGCCTGCCTGGGGGAGCTCAGCTGAGTACCTCACACGCCGTGGTCATGGGTCAGGCCCCGGAGAAGGGGAGAGGGGCTTGGGATGGAGCCAAGAGCCAAGAAGCTAGCACAGCCCTGGTGACTGGCGTGATGGACAAAAGGCCGTGGCAGTGAGGGGAACACACAGGGGAAGGACCAGTTCGGCTTGGGGGACCTGAGACAAGCAGGGAAAGGCTTCCTAGCTTGGGGACAGATGGCAGCCTGGACACACAGATATGGGGTGGGGGGGCCAGGAGCTGCATTTACTCGCCGAGGCCTCTGCCCCCTCTGGAATGCCCGTGTCACCTCTCCCACTCCTGCCTGCATTCCTGCTGCCCCAGGGAATGGAGGGGTTTCATGTCCTGCACCCCCAGGGGAAGCCCAGGCACTGCCCCCTTGGTACCATGTTCCCCATGGTCCCATGTTTATGGTCCCGGGGGCGCCTGGCACACCTGAGGCCCTGAACAGTGAGGGCATAAGATCCCTGTGTTAGCGGGAGGCAGGCAGTGGAGACTTGGAGAGGGAGGGGCCAGGCCTCGTGGGAGCCCAGCCTTCCCCCAGACCCGGACAGGGAGGGCGGCTGTTCGTGAGGCCAGGCCTGGGAGGAGACCTGGCTCATGGGGCTGGGCTCCTGGCCTTCCTCCCTTTGGGCCGTGCTGGGCGTGGGGGAGGCTGGGGGCCTGGCATTCCTGAGCTGGCTGGGGAGGAGCAGGCAGCAGGTTGGGTGGGGAGCTCTGCTCCCAAGCCTTGGAGCTCTCCTGGATCCCCCGGCCTGTCTCTGGGGCAAGGCGATGGGTCTGCAGGCCCCGTGGCCCCTCTTGGGGGGCCTGTGGCTCCTGGCAGGTATGGGAGGAAATGGGGCCTCAATGAAGGGGGGAGTGGCCTGGAGCTGGTGGTCAGCGTGTGCCAGAGGGATACAGTGGTGTTTTGTGGTAGCCTGGTACCAGGCTTTAAGTTCTGGTGGCTTATTTGGGACTTCGACTCTAGCTGAACTATGGAGGCAGCCTTGGTCTTGGTCTGCTTTGGGAGCCCTGGCTGAGGTGGGGTTATGCCAGGGGCTCTGGGATCTGAGCACCTATGGGAGCTCCTGGAGACTAGGGTGGGGCAGCTGCTTCATAGCCAGAGCGGGGGCCTCTGGACCCTTTGGGTTTGGGCTTTGCAGCGTGAGTAGGAGTTTAAAGGGTAAGGGAGGGTGAGATTTTCCTGTCAGAGTGATCGGAACCCCAGAGGCAGGACCTTCAGGACAGGCTCAGGATGGGCAGCTCAGGGTTGTCAGGAGGGCTGTGGTCTGAGAGCCTGGGAGGGCGTTGCCCAGGGGCCAGGAGGGCATCGCCCAGGCCAGGTGGGTGATTGGACTTTAGGTTGGAGGACAACCTGGCCAGGTGCTGCTTTAGAAATAGGTGGCTGGCACCTGGGAGAGACAGATGGGAGGAGGGCTTCGGAGCCAGGGAGCAGGTGGAAGGAGGGGCATGGCCAGGGAAGGGTACCCTCAGGGTCTGGCTCTCAGGGTACTTGTGGGGCACCATGAGAAAGCCTTTGCGAGTAGCTTTGGTTTACAAGTTCTGGGGGTTGCCCACATAAGAGGCTGTGGCGCCCCTGAGCCTCGGCCCGGTTTCTCCTGAAGGCCTCACATGTCAGGAGGAGGTGGACGAGTGCCTGTCGGAACCCTGCCTGCATGGTGGAAGCTGCCGGGACACCGTGGCGGGCTACGTCTGCTGGTGCCCTGAGGCCTGGGGTGGCCTGGACTGCTCTGTGCCACTCACAGGTTGCCAGAGCCACACCTGCCCGCCGGCTGCCACCTGCATCCCCATCTTTGAGTCTGGGGTTCACAGTTTTGTCTGCCACTGCCCCCCTGGGACCCACGGACCCCTATGTGGCCAGAACACCACCTTCTCTGTGGCAGCTGGGAGCCCCGCATGGATTTTGGTGCCAGTGGGCAATGACCGCATGAGGCTGGCACTGCGGTTTCGCACCACACTACCGGCTGGAATCTTGGCTAATCGCATCCAGGACACCCAGGACAGCCTGGAGCTGGCCCTGGTGGCAGCAACACTGCAGGCCACACTCCAGAGCCATGGCACCATTGTGCTGGTTTTGAGACTGCCGGATCTGGCCCTGAACGATGGACATTGGCACCGGGTGGAGGCGGTGCTGGGCCCAGGGAGCCTGGAGCTGCGGCTCTGGCACGAGGGTTGCCCTGGCCGGCTCTGCATAGTCTCCGGCCCTGTAACGCCGTCCCTGACCACATTCACAGGACCCAGCTCAACTCAGCTGGGCGGCGGGGAGTTTGTGGGCTGTTTCCAGGACGTGCAGGTGGACGAGCGCCTCCTGCTGCCTGAGGCCTTTGGGGAGGCCGCACTGCCGGGCTGCGAGCGCCAGGAACAGTGCCAGCCCCTGTCCTGTGCCCACGGAGGGTCCTGCGTGGACCTGTGGACTCGCTTCCACTGCGACTGCCCCCGGCCTTACAGCGGCCCCACATGCGAGGACGGTGAGGAGCGGGTGCTGGGGAGGGCGCCTTTGCCTGCTGCCAGGGACTGGCTCGGCCCGCAGCCTCCCGCCAACGCACCCTCTTTCCCTGCAGAAGCCGTAGCTGCCACCTTTGGCTTGGCGGGCATCGTGAGCTCCGCTTCCTTCCTGCTCCGCGAACCCCCTGGCCCCAACCTCACAGTGTCCTTCCTCCTGCGCACCCGGAAGCCCACCGGCTTGCTGCTCCAGTTTGTCAATGGCTCAGCCGCCGCCAGCCTGACGATCTTCCTGAGCCAGGGACAGGTCCGGGCCCAAGTGCCTGGCAATCCTCCCATGGTGCTGCCTAGGCGCTGGGACGATGGGCTCCGCCGCCTGGTGACACTCAGCTTCGGGCCTGAGCAGCTTCAGGGCCTCGGGCAGCAGGTGTACGTGGGCGGGAAGTCTGGGCCAGCCACCGACATGGGGGCCTGGGGAGGGCCCTTCCAAGGCTGCCTCCAGGACCTACGATTCAACGGCCTGCACCTGCCCTTCTTCCCTCCGCCATGGGAGAATTCAAGTCAGCTGGCTCACGAGCTGGACGGCTGGCACTCTGAAAACCTCACTGAGGGCTGCGTCTCGGAGGACACATGCAATGTGAGTGTCTGATGTGTAACCACACCACGGGGTGGGGGATAGTGAGTCCTACGGTGAGGAGGCCATGACTCAGGAGGGGAGGGACCTGCTTGGGGTCCCACTGCTGGACGGTCCACTTCCTCTCTAGCCGGCTGTGCTGACCCTGGCCCATCCTGATCTGACCCAGCTCCTCAGGCAGGACACCCATGGGTTCCTATTTCCTCTTTTCCAGCCGGGTAACTCAGGCAAACAGCTTTTGCACCTGAACCTCAGTTTGCTCATCTGTAAAATGGGCCACCAGGGACCTCCTCCGCATTTGGCTTATGTGGTGGCCTGTGTCTGCTCTAGATGCCCACTGCAGTGATGGCAATGGGGGGTGGGGGAGGCAGAATGCTGACTGCGGGCCCTAGCTGACCCCTGCCCTAACTCTCCCGCAGCCCAACCCCTGTTTGAATGGTGGGACTTGCCTTGTCACCTGGAATGACTTCCACTGTACCTGTCCTGACAACTTCACAGGGCCCACCTGTGCCCAGCAGCTCTGGTGCCCTGGCCAGCCCTGCCTCTCACCTGCCACCTGTGAGGAGGTCCCTGATGGCTTTGTCTGTAAGTGTGTGCCCCTGTGCCCTTTCCGGGAGGTGGGGGAGAAGGGCTGTACTGTGGGCTGCGAGCGACAGGAGCCCCAGCCCAGGGTGGTGGGTGGAGCCTTCCAGAAGAGGCAAGCAGCAGGGAACAGCATGTGCAAAGACCCCAAGGACAGTAGGCACGGCTAGAGGCTAAGTACAAGGAAGCAGAGTGCAGCAACAGGAAATGGGGTGCAGAGGTAGGCAGCCCTGACCTTGCCCGAGGGCAGTGGGGTGCAGGGGTGCGAGGGGTCTAGGCAGCTATTGGGCTGCAGTGAAGGTAGCCTTGGTGATGGGTGCCATTTCAGGGACCAGGAGGGTGGGGGCAAAGGGTCCTGGGGCTGATGTTGCAGGCCTGGGACCTGGGGCGGGCGGTGGTGGTTGGATGGGCATCAGTACGAGACCCACCCAGGCTTGGTTCTGTAGAGAGGGCTGCAGGAAGGAGCGGGGACGGCCTCAGTCTGGAATTAGATGGTGGGCAGGTGTGAGCTCTTGTCACCACCGCAGGGCGCTGGGGTCTAGGGCATGCCTGCTACAGAGGGGCTGGCGGCCCCTGAGTCTCCCTTCTCTCCACAGGTGTAGCCGAGACCACGTTCCGCGAGGGGCCCCCGGCAGAGTTCAGCGGGAGCAATGTGTCCTCGGGACGCGCGCTCAGTGGCCTCTCGTTGGCCTTCCGCACGCGGGACGCCGAGGCGGGGCTGCTGCGGGCATCTGCCGGTGCCCACGCCGCCGTCTGGCTGGAGGTGCGCAACGGCTCGCTGGCGGCTGGCGTGCGCAGCGGCCACGGCCTGCCCGGCGCCCTACTGCCTGCGCCCGGGCCGCGCGTGGCCGACGGCGCCTGGCACCGAGTGCGCCTGGCCATGGAGAGCCCGGAGGCCACCGCCACCACCGCCACCACCGCCTCTCGATGGCTGCTTTGGTGGGACGGCTCGGCGACGCCTGTGGTGCTGCACGGCCTCGCCGGCGACTTGGGCTTCTTGCAGGGCCCCGGCGCCGCGCGCCTACTGCTGGCCGAGAACTTTACTGGCTGCTTGGGCCGCGTGGCCGTCGGCAGCCTCCCGTTGCCCCTGGCGCGGCCGCGTCCCGGCGTGATCCCCGGCCCTCGGGAGCATTTTGCAGCTTGGCCCGGGGCGCCGGTCCCAAGCCTAGGCTGCCGCAGCGCGCCCGTGTGCGAGCCCTCGCCCTGCCTGCACGGCGGCGCCTGCCGAGACCTCTTCGACGCCTTCGCCTGCGCCTGTGGCCCGGGCTGGGAGGGCCGGCGCTGCGAGGCCCGTGCCGACCCCTGTCGATCAGCGCCCTGCGCCCGGGGCCGCTGTCATGCACGCCCTGACGGCCTCTTTGAGTGTCGCTGCCCGCCGGGATTCGCGGGCCCACGTTGCAGGTACGGGTCAGGAGTCCGGGGGGACTGAGAGGTGGGGGATCTGTCTGGGCCCTCGAGGTCACTGGCTCTGTCCGCCTGTGTTTGTCTTCCGGGAGCTTCTGTGTCCTGACCTGGAATGTGGGCCTGGGGAGAGATGATGTGGTCTGCTGAGCTTGCTCCGAGTGCACAGTGCTGCCGTGTGGGGGTGGCAGTGGCTGCCCAGGGCTGGTCCTGTGCGTCCCTAGGATGGAGAGTCAGTGGGGAGGGCCGCTGGGAGGTCAGGTGCCTGTTGTCCAGTCCCCATCCCTCCCTCCCTCTGCAGGGTGCCAGCCCCGGATGACGGGTGCAGCCTCAACGCCACCTGTCTCAATGGCAGCTGCCCGGGCGACTCTGCTGGCCCCAGGTGAGTGTGGGGGAGGAGGCCCTGGGCAGGTCAGGTCCTGGGACTCCAGCAGCTCCTCCCTCACTTTCTCATCCCTCGCTGGCATCTAGGTGCCAGGATGCCTGCCACTGTTACCTGGCTTCCAGACCAGCAGGTGTGACACTGCCACTGCCTGGTGGTGTTGCTTAGAGCCACCTGTTCGGGGAGAATTCAGCAGGCAGTCAGCCTTCCTGGCACCTGCCCTTACCTAGGTTCCTCTGCCGTCCTGATGGAGCGAGAGATGGGGCAGGGGAATGGGGGGCAGGTGGCATCACCTGTGGGGGCTTGTTTGGGGGATGCGGGTTGGCAGGGGTGCTGCAGCAGCTCCCCCAGCCTCCTGTCCTCTCCAGGTGCCGGGTCCCTGTGTTCCCCTGCGATGCCAACCCCTGCCTGAATGGGGGCACGTGCCAGGCGGCTGGTGGGCGGCCTGAATGCGTGTGCGGTGCCAGGTTCTCGGGCCAGTTCTGTGAAGTGGTGGTGAGTGACACTGGACGGAAGGGGATGGAGTGGGGACCTGTATATCATAGGTGAGAGGCGGGGTCGTTTCACTCCAGGGAGGGTTTTGCGAAGCAGGGAGCCCTCCCCACCTGTCAGCAGGGCGTGAAGCCCCAGGCATGGGTGCCAGGTGAGTGAGCCATGCCAAATCCGATATGGGACTAGGAGTCAGGGCTGCCAGCTCCAGGAGGACCCCAAGGTTGGAGGGACTGAGCTGGGGACTCCTGCCAGAGGCTCCTGACCTGGCCTCGGGGAGGAGGATGCCAACAGCACAGGTTTTGAGCAGGAGCTGGCTTGGCTGCCACATGTTGACTTGGGACTTTGGCAGTTTGTAGGTGTTTGCACCTCTGTGTCTAGCTTCTGCCATCCCAAGGGGCCGAGTAGTCTGGAGCAGAGGGCCCCCATGCTGAGTGGTGGCAGGGCTCAGGGCTCCGGGGGACGGCCTTGATGTCCACAGGCATCAGGCAGCCGCGGTCATAAACGGCAGATCCCAACTGCTCCGGGAGTGTTCCCTTTCAAGTTGCAGCTTTTATAGCCCCCAGCTCCCATGTCCCTGGCTTCCTACGGCCTCCCAGGGTAGGGAAGGAAATGGCTATACCCTCCCACCCTGCCACACCAAGTGCCTAGCGTGGAGGCTGGTGAGGGCCCACCTTCAGCTGTGATAAACTCTCCTTTATACCTCTGCCGCCCCCCACCCTGCCCTGTCACCGTGGTCAGGGCTCAGTGTCCTATTGGGCCAAGAAACTTCAAGATGTGAGGGTGGGTGTGAGTCCCTCGCCCTGGAGTTTTGAGGCCTTGAGCATTCCAGGCCATGTGGACTCTGGGGAGGGGGTGGGGAGGCTTGCCAACCATGCCCTCTCTGGCCCCTTCCTCCAAAGCCAGGTTTGAGTCTCGGGCGGACCCAACTGCTCTAGCTCCAGCTCGCAGCTGCCCCCTGCAGGCAGGTCGACGCTGGCTTTGTGGTCAGCATGTTCAGCTCTGTCCAGCACACTCTAGGTGGTCAGTGTGTGTTCTCTGTCCTAGCCAGGACCCTCCCACAGGGGCCCTGCGGTGGGGATACTGTGCACCTGCTTGAGCACCCCCCACCCCTGGGGTTGTACCTTGCCCCTTACGAGCAAGCCTGCTCCCAGCTGTATTTTTTTTCCTGGATCTCTGTGCTCCCACTTCCTCCTCCCCTCTAAGCCCTCACCTCAGCTTCATCCCCACTCCAACCTGATGCCTTGTCATCCTGTTTCTTGCAGAAGGGCCTGCCGCTGCCGCTGCCGTTCCCGCTGCTGGAGGTGGTGGTGCCTGCGGCCTGTGTCTGCCTCCTCCTCCTCCTCCTGGGCCTCCTCTCGGGGATCCTGGCGGCCAGAAAGCGGCGCCAGTCAGAGGGCACCTACAGCCCGAGCCAGCAGGAGGTGGCCGGGGCCCGGCTGGAGATGGACAGTGTCCTCAAGGTGCCGCCCGAGGAGAGACTGATCTAGCACCACGGTGGTCCCCTCATCCCCCTGGACACCAGCTGTGTCTGGGCCCCCCTGGCTGGCGGCAGCCCCTGCCTCCTCCCATCTGAGGGTTGAGGATAAAGGGGAACAACTCAGGGAAGCAGAGAGGGGCCTGGTGGGTGGTGGGCAGTGCTGTGGGACCACTGGGCTTGCCTCAGCAGGGCTGTAAGTGGGAGTATGTGTGTGTGTGCGTTTATGTGTGTCTTGTCCATGCCTGGGGAGCCTGCAGCTCCCATGTGTGGGGCGGAGTTTGTGAACATGATTGTAGCAGTTGGGCTGTACCATCCCCCTTCCAGCCCCAACTCAAGGGAAACCAGGCACCAGGGCTCCCGCTCGGCTGGGAAATCAGGGCTGGCCATTCTTGCAGCTGAGTGGGCTGCAGGCTGGCAGGAGCAAGTTCCTTGAGGCTGAGCCAATGCTGCCCGGGGACTCCTGGGCTGGGCACACGAGGGCACCGCAGCTGTAGACAACAGGTTGCACTGTCCCGAGCTCTGTTCCTGCTGCAGTCCCCTGCCTACTCCTGGGGGAAGAGGGGCTGACATTAGGGACCACTGCTGCATTGCTTCTCAGCCTTTTGGCTAAGATCAAGTATAGGGACCACTGCTGCCCATCTAGTGGGAAGCGTTGCCTGGCAGCTGTCCTGGTCCTTTCTGGTGCCACAAGTGCCTTTGCTGAGTGAGAGTGGCTGCAGGACCTTCCTGGGGCCTGGCGAGGCCAGAGCGGGTGAGCACAGAGGGCTGCCCTGCTCCCTGAGCTGTCGGCAGTGCTGGGTGTTGTTGGCCGAGCCTGGGTATGCCCCCACCTGATGGGCTGCTCCTGCAGAGGCATGCCCAGGGCACGGGTGGGCTGCTGGCTTCCGCCCCATGTCATAGCAATGGCTGGCACGTGGAGATCTTGGGTCCTAAGCAGAGGGGTGGCACCTGACCATGGACCTGGCCTCCTGTGAGCCTCAAGGGGTCTTGTTGCTGGCTTGTTTCCCAGGCTGGTGCTGAGCCCAGGCGAGTTCTTCAGGCGTCCATGCAGGTCAACCCTTGCTGGCTCCTAGAAAGGCCCAGCAATGGAGTGGGAGTGCTTTCTTGTCCTTGTCCCAGAGGAGGTACCTGTCCCTTGGCTCTCTCCGTGATCCCTGGGGAAGGGAGTGGCACTTCCAGGATCAGGCTAGGGCTTGGTGAGCCCGTGTTGGCTGCAGGCTGTCGGGGTGCCCAAGGCTAAGGGGCCCTCAGAGAGCTCCAGGAAGATGGGCATTAGGAGGAAGCCATGTTCGCATTCTGGCTCCTTTTTGCACCAGAAAATGGTCTATTTTCTGGCAGGTGGCTTGTTGGCAGGGGCAGCCCCGGGTCGTTGCTCCTGCGAGGTAGCAGGACCAGCTGGTGGGTGGGTTGGGGGCAGTGTGTGTGTGTGTGTCTTTTTGTCACTGGCTGCTGTGTCTGGTCCTGGCTTTCTTGCAAACACGCAGGTCCCAAGAACACAGGGGCTGAGGCTCTGCTGTTGGTAGCAGAGGTGATGACACTATAGGGGTCCCTTTGAATTTGTTCTTTTCAGGGGCTTGGGTGATTACAATGCTGTGTTCTTGGCAGGTGTCACCAGCCTGTCCCTTGTGGGCCCTGCCTGTGAGGGAAGGGCCTGAGCTGGCTCAGAGCCCTGAGTGGGAGCTGACCTGGGAGCCAGTCGGGGGTGGACTCCTCGCTTAAGTGCCTTGCACCCGGCCTCCACCCCTGGGGGAGCAAGGGGCCAGCACAGGACCAGAGGAGGGGTGGATACAGGATGGCTGGGAGCCCAGACCTGGGGGGTGGGGCGGGCAGTGATGCGTCTTTCCTCAAGGACAGAGGCACCTGTGACCTTGTGAATGTGGGGCACCTGCTGCCAGCTCCCCAGACAGCCAGGGGGACCTCAGTGCCTTCTGCTCCTCTGGGACCCCTCCAGCACCTGCAGGGGCCACAGCCTTGTCCCTAACGGGGCCTGGGGGGGTGTGTCCTCAATGGGGAGAGGGTGTGACCGAGAGCCAGGGAGGTGCACGTGCCCAGGCCTGGCATGACCACCCCAGCAGCTGGAGGACGCTCCTGAGACTGGGCGAGACGGCCCGTCCTGCAGAGCGTCCCGTGTCAGCGATGGAGTGGGGGTGGCTGGCCTGTACCCCCACAGCAGCCGCCACCACCTCCCAGACACAGAGCAGCCCCCTGGGAGGAGAAGGGGACTTCAGGGACACCCCCATCCCTGTCAAGACAATCCTGGGGAGATTGCATGTCTAAGCATTCACAAATAGGAAATGAGGAATGAGGTCAAAACACCCCTCATTTCCTGTCTGTCTGAGGGTTGTTTTCTTAAATGCCGGGCCCTGCTGGAACGTGGTTTATTGAGAGGAGTCGATTTCAAGGTTCATCAAATCAATAAAACAAAGAGGAAAAGAAAGATGAAAGGAATGGTAACAGAACACTGCGGTTTTACTTTGGTGACGTCTCAGGAATTTCTGTGCTGGCGAGCAGCGCCACGTGCCCGGGGCGGGGCTGGCCTGGGGAAGTCCAGGCTGGTGCAGCCTCGGTCATCCATGCCACGTGGGCCTGGGGCAGCAGGGCCTCCCACATCCACGGCCGTCTGTGGCAGTTGGCTTGGCCTGGGGACTGAGTTCGGCTCTGTTGCCTGCGCTGCCCTTCGAGGCGACGTGTCAGAAGTGACAGGGCCGAGGTCCTCTCCCAGCACGCTCGGCTTCAGGAGGTGTCTCCCAAGTCACAGCGGCTGGCACTCCTGGCCCCAACGTGGGGCTGGCAGTGGCTGGGATTTCGCCATCACAAAGGGTCCCAAGACCTCTCTGTACCCCAGACACAAGAGGAGTTTGGGGGTCGGGGTGAAGACTCATGAAGGCGAGACTATGTATTGCTCATGAGGGCCAGGCAGGCCTTCCAGCTGGTGAGGGGGGCACTTACTCCATGTGGTGCCCATGCTGAGTGCAGCCTCTCCAGGGGAGACTCGGCACCCTGACCCAGTTGAGCTCTTCAGTGCAAGGCCCCGTCGGGTGCCAGGAGGGGTTGGCAGCAGGGTGGGCTAGGCCCAGGGCCAGAGCCCACAAGTGGGCAGTGTGGAGGGACGGAGAGGGCGGCTGGGAAGGCTGAGGGCCAGCCGAGCTCACTCGAAAGTCTCCCACTGCTTCCGGAGCTGCTCCACCGAGCCCACAGCTGTCACATCCTGCTTGGTTTTCTGTAACAGATCTTCAAAGGGGTCTCTGGCCTGTTGGGGGACCAAGGGCTGCAGGGCCGGCTCCAGGCCCTGAGAGGGTCTAGCAGGCACAAGTGGGGTGTCTGTGGGCCTCGGGGCCAGCCCCTGCTTGGCCTCTGCAGCCCTGGCACTGGAGCGGGGAAGGGGCAGTGTTCGGATCCTTGATGGGGCAGCTGCCGGCGGGCCAAGTGGCTGTAGGGGGCTAGTGTGGGCACCCATGGGTGCCTGGCCAAAGAGGTTGGGCATGGAGAGGGCGGAGAGGTGGGGTTGAGATCGGTGAGGGGTGCAGAAACCAGAGCCAGATAGCAGGAGACTGGGTGGGAAAGCTGGCCCCAGGGTTGCGGGTGGCATCCCAAAAGGCCCGGGTGCTAAGGGTCGCAGGGGCAGTGTGGGCGGAGGGGCTGGCATGGGCTGGACAAATGGGTTAAGGGGTGGCTGTGGGAAGGTGGTTGGAGTTCCTGCAGTGGGGAAGCTGAACTGGGGGGCGAAGGGGGTGGCTGTGCACTGGGCGTTAGTGCGGGGCAGGAGGGAGCCTGACCGGGTCGTGTTGAGTGGGTCCAGGAGGGCCAGCAGGGGGTCGCTACCTGTAGGCGCAGCCCCTGGGGCCGGGCTGAGCGGAGGTAGCAGTTCCAGAGGGCCTTGGGGGGCGCTGGGGAGCAGACCTGGGAACAGGGCGGGGCTCAGGGCTGCCCGGTGGTCTCCATCGGCAGGCGGTGCCTCTGAGAGGCTGGCAGCTGGGAGCTTGGCCGGGCGAGTGGCAGGTGGTGGAGGCACAATGCCCAGCTCGGGGGTCTTCCTGCCCTGCGGCCGGGGGATGGTGATGTTGCCCGGAGTTGCGGTGGGTGCCGCCTCCCTCTTGCCAGGGTTCCAGATGCCGTCCTGATCCCGGGGCCCAAGGGGCAGGGCCGGGGAGCTGCCCAGCTGGGGCGAGGGCTTCGTGGGGGAGGCGGTGAGGGGCTTGCTGGGAATGGCCATGTCGTCCTGGCCCAGGCTCCAGAGCTTGTTGTAAGGGTGGGTGAGCTTTAGGGGCATCGTCAGCCCGAGGCTCCTCTCACTCCTGCCCAGGTCCAGCCTCTGTGGGGAGGGCATGGAGGAGGCAGTGACCATGGGGCTGAACCAGGATGTACGCCCAGTATTGGGGCCAGGACCGCTCTGCTTCTCAGGGTGTGGTGATGGGAGTTCCAGGGTCCGTGTAGGTTTCCCAGGGCTTCCGGGAAGTCAGGCCCTTGTTTCAGGCCTGGATGCCCCTATTCCTGGTAGAAGGGCCCATGTGAGTGCTTGGGTCTGGTGGCAGTTGTGTGATGGAGGAAACTCTGGGGGGGGGGAGGAGTGTCTAGGGGAGCGGGGGCTGGAACACATTGGTGGGGGTGGTTACTAACTTCTAGTAGATTCTAGCATCTTCTGTAGTGCTCATCCCAGGGCTGAGCTTCGGCCACTGCCCTTGGGAGAGTTACTGATTTGCTCTGGGTCTCGTGTGCCGCTGCAGGCGGTACTGCTTCAGTGAGAAACGCCCTCCCCCCAGGGCCAGTGTCCCCCAGCCCACACCGTTAGTACCTGGTAACCAAATGTGCCTGGCTGCTCCATCGCGTCCTTGGGGGCCCGAAGGTCCTCCAGGCTTTTGGCCTGGCCCAGCGGCTGAAGGGGGGCTTGCATTTCCAGGCTGTTGAACACGTCTTCCAGCAGGTCGATGCTGGCGGCGCGGTCAGGAGGGGCGGGCCCAGGGACCTGGGGCGCCCGCGTCCGCTGTTCGGGGCTCTCGGCCTCCTCGCCTTCTGCGCTGTCAGACTCCTTGAGTGTCCGGTAGGGCTGTGGCCTGGGAGGAGAGGAGAGAGAGCTGGCTGCAGTTCACACCAGGGTGGCCGGGGCTGGGGCAGGGTGGTGGTTCCCGCATGCACTGGAACCTGGATGCTCTGACCCGCCTGGCGTGAGCCTTGGCAGCTGGCTTTGGCTCCTGCTGGAACTGCGGTGGTGGTGGTGGGAGCCCCCAAGCCATGAGTCCTGTCACACAGCGGGCAAGGGGAATCAGATGGAGGAGGGAGAGTCACAGGCAGGCTGGTGGGCTCCTGGCCCCACCTTGTTCCTGCATTTGGTAACCAAAAGGAGACATGGCTGCTGAGAACTGAGTTAAGGCACTTGCCCTGGGCAGTCTGTGGATGGAGGTGACCAATCATTGGTGGCCTGCTGGGACGGTGTGGCCGGCACGTGGGCTGTGTGCCCACAACTTTCTGACCCTTTTCAAACCAGAACCTCGCAGCCCAGCCGAGAGCTGGGGACAAAGCCTGCCTTTCCCACTGTCCTGAACCCCAGGACCCCGTTGGCCACATGGGGAGCTGGTGCCTGGTGCAGCCTGACCCCTAATGGCGACCCAGAGAGCACCTCCTCCAACCAGGAGGCTGGGGCTGGTGGAGACGGACAGGGCGCCACCTTCTGGTCAAGAGCCGGCTCACACCGCTCCCCCAGGGAGGGACCTTGTCAGGTTGTACTGTTATGACCAGAGCAAAGCAAGCAGCCGCCAAGAAGGACTTGCACCTGGCCGTACAGAGGAGGAAGCGGAAGTTGAGGGAAGTGAAGTAACTGACCCAGGGCCACACAGTGCGTGAGGGTGAGGCAGAAACGCAAGCCAGGCCTGAGAAATCGCCGCAGCGCCATCGTTCCCTGTGACCAAGAACTTAGAAAGCTGGCATGCTTCCCGGGGAAGGGAGGCCCAGGGTCCTTTGCCGAGGCCGCACAGAGCTGGGTCTGGCCAGGTCTTTTCCAACTACTCGCAGGCCTGCCCCGACAGTCCGGTCACAGGTGGAGGATGGGAGTCGGGCAGAGAGCATGCGGGGCTGGACCTCAGGCAGGAGATCTCCCCTTGGAAATGCCTGGCTGCCTGAAGGCGGCGTTGGGTGGAGGGCGGTCTCCCTTTGCAGGGACAACAGTCCAACGGTGGGGGGCCGCCCCTTCCCCCCCCCCGCTGCTCTTCACAGCTGGAACAACAGACAGTATCTTGGCAAAGCCAGGCAGCCCGTGTTTCACATACTTCCTATGCTAGAAGGTTCTTTTCACTTAATCTCTGATGGGGCCCAGCATGTTGTAGGCTTCAGACCCATTCCAGTCCAGCAGGGACCTCCTATCACCCCACTCATTCACCGTCTAGGCCCCTCAGGGGCTGATGGAAGCACTGGCCGAGAGGAGGCCCACAGGGCTGGCGTGGCCCCCGGTGAACTGGACACAGGGCCTTGGGGGGCAGCAGCTCCCACTCCACCACACACACACACACACACACACACACACACACACACACACAGCAGGTAGCAGCAAGCTTCTCCCCACGCCCTCCACAGCCCCTGGTGGTCACCGCACTGAGCAAGCGGGAGAAGCAAGGAGAGACCATTCGAAGGGAGCAGAGAAGAAGCTGCCGCCGAAGCCAGCGCTGGGGCCCTCTTCCCGCGGGCTCTCATCGTCAGAGGAGTCCTCGGACAGGAAGACGGCATAGTGTCGCGAGGGCTTTACCAGGCTGGCCGGAGGGAGAGAGAAAACAGACAGTTAGGGGGTGTGGAGGGTGGGGCGGGGAGGCAAGACGCCGCTGTGTGCAGTTAGGGCATGAGGTGGGGTGCTGTGCTGCCCCCAGCCCCGGGCGCGCCCTTGGGTGTCCCTCACTGCTCTGCCTGCCACGGGAACGTTAACAGGTAAGGCAGCCCGGGGCATCGGCAGTCAGAATGGACGGGGCAGGAGACAGAGGTGCAATGCGACAGCTGGCCCCCGGCCTCCCCACAGGTTCCATGTGGAGGATAGTTGTGAAAGAAATATGAAGTCTCCAGGGAACGTGAACAGGGCATGGTGTCGCAGCACAGCAGATAAAACCACTGCTCACGTCCCATATGAGCGCCGGTTTGGGTCCTGGCTGCCCTGCTTCGAACCCAGCTCCTTGCTCACGCATCTGGGAAAAGCAGCAGAAGATGGTTCAGGTGCCTGAGCCTGGCACCCCCATGGGATGCCCAGCTAGAGTACCGCGATCTTGGGCTTTGGAACTGGCCCAGCCCCAGCTGTTGTGGTCATCCGGGCAGTGAACCAGCAGACAGAAGATGTCTCTCTCTTTAACTCTGCCTTCCAAATGACTAAGTCTTCAGGAAGAAAGATGGAAGGTCTGCGCCAGGGGGTCACACCGTGCTCCTGTGAGGGCTGTGGGGGCGTGGCTGGGAGCCAGTGGGATGCGGTGCCCTCTCCCTCCGCTTCCCTTTGTTCCACAATGGGGGGGGGGGCTCGTGGGCTTTGGCGATCAGGGAGACAGAAGTTAGAAAAGAAAGAAAACTGTGCAGAGGGGTGCGTGTGAGGAGGCCCCCCGCCCCGCGCCTTGCCGGCGGCCACACTCTGAAGCCCCCCCACGCCTCTTCCGAAAGGCCCTGTCATCTGTGACACGAGAAATATTCATAGTTCTAAGAAGTTCATCTCCCTGGTCAGTCCCCCGTGAGCCCTCCCCGCTGTGAACACACACACACACACACACACACACACACACACACACACACACACACGGGACCTCCATGCGGGTCCTCCAGAAATCACGTGCTAGACCGGGCCACACTGAGCAGGGCAGGTCTCCGTTCCAACTGTGGGGAGCCCACGTCCTCCTTGGTCTCTGTTGCCCTGAGGTCCCCCAGGGAGGTGACGGTGAAGTGCAGCACCACAGGGTAGACACGAGTGTCTGAATGGGCCACCTCTACCCTCTCTGGTCAGCCTAGACCTCTATTTCAGGACAGGGTAACATGTCCCCTCATACCCAATCTCATGAGACCTGGGGCTGGCAGTGCTATAGCACAGGCTAAGCAAGTTGCCTGTGTGCTGGCATCCTATACAGGTGTCGGTTCAAATCCTGGCTGCTCTACTTCTGAGCTAGCTTCTTGCTAATGCACCTGGGAGAGCAGCAGAAGATGGTTCAAGGGCCCAGCGTGGCAGCCTAGTGGCTAGAGTCCTCAGCTCTGGCCATTGAGGCCACTAGGAAGTGAAGCAGCGGAAGGAAGATCTTTCTGTCTCTCCTCGCTCTGCAAATCTGACTTTCTAATAAAAATCAATAAATACAATCTTAAAATCTTAAAAAAATAAAGAGATGGTCTAAGCGCTTAGGCCCCTGCACCCACCTGGGGGTACCTGGGCCTGATCTAGCCCCCTTGGCTGTGCTGACCACTTGAGGTGTGACCTAGGCCAGGGTCATGCACGTGGCAATGTCACAGCAGCCAGAGCGCCTTGAACGAGGCTCCTTAGTGGAGCTGCTGTTGCTGTGTCAGGTCCCCGAGGAAACCCCCCCAGTGCCTCCCATGCTGGCATCATTATGAAGGGGTTTGGGGGAGCAGTGTGCACTGGGGCGGGTAGGGCACGGGGGACCTGGGTGTCTCTGGAATGCACCACCTGTCACCCGGGAAGCCAGGGGGCAATGCTGGCGTGGGTAGGTGAGGCTGAGCACGGCCTGGCCAGCTCCTCACTAACTCCTCCCCTCAGCCCTGCTTTGCAAAGAGGCCAGAGCTCAGAGAGGGGACGCTCCTCGCCTGGGATCACACAGCAACCAAAGGCCAGGCCCTGGATCCGAAATCATGAAAAGCCAGAGCATGGCCCTCCGCTGCTGCCTCCCCTGCCCCAACTTCCAAATAAACTTATTTAAATTCAGCTGTTCATGTTCTCCTACGAAACAGTCAGATATTTGTCAGATAAAGGATGAACCGTCGAAAACGTCCAGGTTTAAATTTTTTATTAGCTTAAGGCAGAATTCGTGAAGGAGAAAAAAAAAAAAACCCTACTGTAACTCTTCCCTCATTAACCCAATTCAGCGACTACCCTGCGGTCTGCCACCCACCACTGGCCCGGCTCTCAGCACACAAAGGGCTGTCTACGCAAAGGCAGGTCGCTGCGGATGCGGCTGCCCTGCCAGGGCCGCCGGCGGCTCGGGGAGGGGGCCAGAGAGGGCCGCTGTCCATCACCGCCCAGACCCCAGCGTGTCCCCCTCGCACGGCCGCCACCGCCACCTCTGCCCACCTCGTCTCGGTGCGGAGTTCCCATGCGAGGGACTCGGGAGCCCTTTCTAATGTTTGGTTTAACGTGTCGCCGGGTAGTACGCACGTGTGACAGTGGTGACAGGCGAGGCCGTTCCTTTTTAAATACCATGTCAGACACACGGGCGTCAGCGGCGGGCCGGGTTCTGTGTTACGCGCCGCGCCGGGATCGCGCTGCCTTAGTTTTTAATGAGGAAGATCTGCATCTCTCCGAGTTCCTTTTCTTTCCTTTTTTTTTTTTTTTTTCATGTGTCACATCGTGTGGACAAATCAGCAGCACGTCACGCTGGCCCGAAATGAAATGCTGACAAATGTAGATATTTCAAATTTAATTGACATTTAAATGTACTTGAGACAAAGATGGGTAGGAAAAAAAAAAAAAACCCAGCAGCAGCCCAGGCAGGCCTGGGAGGGGAGCGGGCAGTCACCCCCTACAGGACCCACTCGCCCCAGCATGTGGGGCGGTCACTCTGCTGAGGGCACAGCTGTCACTGTGGCCCTCCAGGATGAGGCTGGGGGGGGGTGGCGGGCGGGGGCAGCTGATGAGCAGGGACAGGCCCAGGTTAAGGTCAGGGTCTAGTGCGCCTTCCCCTCCCCTATCCAGGCCACACCTGCCTGCCTGCACCTCAACTTCCCTGTAAAAATAGGGATACCACAGGGCTCACAAATGGTGAACATCAGGGGTTTTGCACACTGCCCAGTGCAGAGCAAATCTGCAAGCACCATCTGAGCCATGTCCATCTGCCAGCCAAGATCATTCCAGGTGACTGTCCCCCACGCAGGGCTG